GGAGGGTGAATTGCTTGGTCAGGGTCATGAGCAGCTGAATGACAGTGTTCAGAGCCCTGGCTGGGTGGGAAAAGGGCCGGGTCTGGCTTGGCCGCAGACCTCTTCTACTCCAAGCCTCAGTTTACCACTTCTGTAGATTTAGGGGTAGAACTAGGTGATCTCCATGGGCTCAGCAGCTTGGAGTACTCATTAAAGTCAAGGTCTTCCAGTCTTAGCAACTCTGGAGTCAGAGCAATGCCCTTCCCTCCTGCTCAGGCATTGGGGTTGAAGGCTGGGCTTGGAATGAAATAGAAGGGGTTTGGAGGACTGGGGAGAGCAATAGCATCAACTCAGAGAGTCCTCCTTCCATAATCCAATAGGCCAGCCTGGAATTGGCATGTGTCCAGAATGTCACACAGTGCCACCTAATCACAAATCAGCCAGAAAGTGCAATCTTAACATGTGCTCAATAGAGTGAAAACCAGAAAGATTTAGTGAACAGTGCCAAGGACACCCACAACAGAGCTAGCCAGAACACCCACAATGAAGCAGGACCAACACTGTGACAGCAGCTGGAGGCCACAGTCCACCAGATGAAATGGTGACCCAAACTGAATTACAATGGCTGAGCAGCCTCAACACCTCACCCCTGCACACCCCTAGATCCCAATTAACCGGGGTGGAGGCCACCTCAGGAATAAGCCCAACACCCACTTGTTCTTAGTCCTTTTTGTGCCTGGGGTGAAGACCTTTTTGTCTTACAGTGACTCTGCCTCCCAGGAGCAGATAAGAATTATTTAGAAGCTCAGCCCCTGGGCTGGAATTATTTTCTGTTGAACCTGGTTTGCTAAACCAAGGGAGAAGCAAAGTGAGTTTTACCTTCTTTGAACCAGAGAAAACCTGTCTTCCTCTGTTGTTGACATTTGAGTGTGTAAGTTCTAATTACAGGAGCTTATCTACATGGCCTCAGAAGAGCCTGTGCTTCAGTCATTCAACAAACATTTAGCAATTCTAGCACTGTGCTGGGTTGTCAGCTCAGGCTTTGGCATCAGTGCACCAGATTTCAAATCCTGGCACTACCACTGCAATTCAGTGGTGTGGGTGAGTTTACTTAATCTTTCTGTGTCTCAATTTCCTCATCTGTAAAATGGAAATGTAATAGTAATACTTAATCTTATGTTGTAAAAATTAAATTAGATATTATTACAAGTGCTTAGCATAGCATAACTTAGTTATAGATCTAAAAGTGCTAACTTCAGATTATCATCTAGACATCTGTTTCTGGCTAAAGTAGACTAGCTTCTATCAGACCAATTTACCTGCTGAGGATAACTTTAAAAGCTAGTAAGCATTTAAGAAATCTGTTTAAAGACATGGGAGAGCTACCAAGGCAGTGAGGACTTGACAGGGCCAAGATTGTGGAGAGAAGTAATATTGGTTTCAATTTTTCCCTAAAGGCATTTTCTAGTTTGTAGGAGGCATGGTCATGAGACTGGGCAGTCAAAACTGGAATTTGGGGCCTAAAAAGGGGAAGAGTCCTGTTAAACACCTCCAACTTTTATTGGGAAGACCAAAGGGCAACACTGTAGGAAAAAAGGCTAACCAGATAGAGACTAGACTCAGAAAGACTGAAACAAAGTTTCCAATCAGTGGCCTGTCCTTCTTCAGGTGCCTGTCAGAAGCAAAAGCAAATCCCCTCTGGAGAAAGATAATATTACTCAGAGCCTCATGCTAACTCTATAATTTTTTTATGCACAGTGTTGGACATCCAAGAAAAAATTATCTGGCATTTCAGGAGCTATGAACAAAAGCAATAAAATGGACAAGAGCAATAAAACAGACAATAGAAACAAGCCCACTGGAGATCCAGATGTTGGAGTTTTCAGACATGGACTCCAGAAGGTTGAATATGGTTTGTTTGTTTTTTTTTTTGAGATGGAGTTTCGCTCTTGTTACCCAGGCTGGAGTGCAATGGCGCGATCTCGGCTCACGGCAACCTCTGCCTCCTGGGTTCAGGCAATTCTCCTGCCTCAGCCTCCCAAGTAGCTGGGATTACAGGCACGTGCCACCATGCCCAGCTAATTTTTTGTATTTTAATAGAGACGGGGTTTCACCTTGTTGACCAGGATGGTCTCGTCCTTGTGATCCACCCGCCTCGGCCTCCCAAAGTGCTGGGATTACAGGCTTGAGCCACCGTGCCCGGCCTGGTTGAATATGTTAAAGAAAATAGATGACGAGAGGGAATCTTTCAATAGAAAACTGGAATCTATGAAAAAGGATCTAGTGGAAATTCCAGAACAGAAAAGTTATAACAAATGAAATCAATAACTCCATTGATGGATTTAGCAGCAGAAAAGACACATGTGAAAACAGGATTAGTAAACTGGATAGTAGAAAAATATTTCAGTAGAAAAATATCCAGACTGAAACAGAGAGAAGGAGGGAAGGAAAGAGCTAGAAAATACAGAATAAAGTGTAAAAGAGACATGTGGAGAAATAACAAATGGCTGAACATACATGCCATGAAGGTCCCAGAAGGCAAGGAGTAAGAGAATGGGGAAAGATAAGAGCTGAAGTTTTCCCTGGCCTGGGGGAGATAAGATGCAGCCACAGATTGTAGAAGCACGAGGAAGGATACATACAAAGAAAGTGTCTACAAAGAAGGATAAATACAAAGAAAAACTCACTTAGGCACATCACAGCAAAACTGCCAAAAACCCAAAGGTAAAGGAGAGTCTTCCCCATACGGGAAAAGAAGCAAGACCCCTGGACTCTCCAGCCCCCAGGGCCTCCCTGACCCTAGGCCAATGTCAGCTTCCAAGAGACTGATGTGAAGTGAGGTAAGCCAGACTCCCTCCCCTCCATCAGGGCACACTCAGACTGAGCCCTCCCCACAGGCAGGGAACCCCTGCCTTGTCAGATAATGTCAGATGTTGATGATGAGGTGGGGGAGAGATTTGAAAGGGGAAGATCTGGGAATCTCACAGCCCCTCCTGAGGATCAGATCTTTAAATCATGAGGTCAAGAGATGGAGACCATCTTGGTCAACATGGTGAGACCCCGTCTCTACTAAAGATACAAAAAGTTAGCTGGGCATGGTGGCGCGTGCCTGTAATCCCAGCTACTCAGGAGGCTGAGGCAGGAGAATTGCCTGAACCCAGGAGGCGGAGGTTGCGGTGAGCCAAGATTGCGCCATTGTACTCCAGCCTGGGTCACAAGAGCGAAACTCTGTCTCAAAAAAAATTAAGCAAGATTGTGTGGGATGTGAGCAAGCTCATCTGTTCTCCAACTCTGGTCTCAGCACGTCTGTCTTTCTTTTAGTCCAGCCACCAGAACCCTAATCCATTTCCCTCTCTAAGCCTCAGTCTCCTCAGCTGTAACATGTGGCTATTAAAAAAATTCTAGTTCTTTTTATATTTAAAAAAAATAGACACGGGGTTTTGGCTTGTTGCCCAGGCTGGTCTCAAACTCCCAAGCTCAAGCGATCTGCCCACCTCAGCCTCCCCAACTGCTGGGATTACAGGGGTAAGCCACTGCACCTGGCCAAAGTGTGGCTATTAATAGGCAACAAGCAGTCACAGAGATTGTGATATCATGGATGTAAAAGTGCTCTGCAAACTGTAGATTGCTGTACCCTTTAGTGGTTGCATCCCTGCCTGACAGAACCAGAGAGCAGATGTTCATGTAGACCTAGGAATTTCTGACTTCCTGCCAGCTTGGAATAGCAACAAGGTGACTCAGGCTGGAGTCTCAGTAGAGCTGCCATCTCTCAGCATGGTGCCAGGAGAGAGAGCCCTGGAGTCATCAGCTGTAGACAGGCCTAGAGGTGGCCTTTCAGGCCCTCTGACCTGCTTGGGCCAGGCTGACACCATCCTGTGTGGAGAGTGAAGGATCTGACACTACCCCTCATTTTCACTCAGTGATCAAGCTTTCTCCAACCCCACTGGGTATAGGGTTTGGACACTCAGAAAGGTACCTCCACTTGAGAGACAACCCAACTTTTCTGTTTCCAAACCCAACATGACCAACCTCCCAGATTTGAGACTTCATGGCTCCCTTTTCTGTCAGCCACCACCATAAGCGCATGGTTAACATTTGCTAAATACTCGCTGTTCTAAGCACTTGATTTAGCTTAAGTATTTAGTTATCACTGCACCCTATGAGGTGGGTTCTATTGGTAGCCCTGTGTTTGTTACAGGAGATAAGACAGAAGCAGGGGAGTCAGTCAGGCCCCCGGTGCAGGTGGCACTCCCTATTCCTCACCCTGCATGCTCCCTTCCCACCACAGTACCATCTGATTACTTCCCTTTCATCCCCATCCTGGACCCTTTTCTGGCATTTTCCCCCCATGATTCTAACATAGCTCACTAGCTAAGATCTCATCCTTTGAGGGCCTTTGTACCAACCATGATTTTATGCATTATAGAACAGAATTCTCAAATCAAAGTCATAAATCCCTAGACTCTAATTTTATTACTCTTGTTTCTGCATTTCCAGAATTCTAGAATCCAATGATAGATCCCAGAACCAGAGACATCTAGTGAATCCTAGAAAGGAATTCTAGCATCCAGCAATTAGGCTTTTGAATCCAGATTCAACAGTAGAACAGTGGGGGAGTGGAATGGAGCTACGATTGGAATTTCATAGAGTGCCCAGTCTAGAAAGAGCCCTGGTGCCATAGATCTGCTGCAGCCTAACCCAGCCCATGTGGGAGCTATACCCCATCACTGACCGTCTGAACCATAGGGAGCTCCTCACTCCCACGTGGCCGCTCACTGCAGGCCTTCATCTGATGTTCAGGAGAGTTAATGTCGTTGCTATGCCTGGGTGCGGATGCTGAGGCCAAGCGGCAAGGCCATTCAGGTCCTGGTTCTGGATCTTGAATAAACTGCTAGACCTCTGGGAGCTTCCGTCTCTTCATCTGAATAAAGGGGTGGGGTAGGGGGCAAGGTAGATTTCCAAGGCCTTTTCCACTTGAGAGAGTGAGTTGTCTAAATCCCAAGACCTGCCATTTGCCTTCTAGTTAGTACTACTGAAGACGATGATTATCATGGGATGAGCACCTAAGCTGATCCGGACCCTGTGCTGAGCACTTTCCAGCCATTCTCCCACTCAGTGAGTCCAGGTTGGCTTTCTGGAGTAGAGGGGTTAGGGGGCGGCGTCTGTTTGGAGGACAAAGAAAGTGAGGGAGGAGGGAGGATGGCAAGACTGGCCACGAGGGACCCCGGGAACTAGATGGGGAAACAAAAGCCGACTCTTCCCATATAGGGTGGATTGTTGCTTCCCAGAGGCAGAGGCAGGGAGCTGGCCAAGGTGACCTCTGCCCACCCAGGCACTAAATGTAGCTACAGACTGAGCCCAGGATTGCACATCGAGATACCCTGCTGACCCCACCCTCTCGCTGTGTGCCCACAGGAGGACCGTGAGGCGGCCCCTGGCAGGTGGGCTGTTCAGGGCAGGCGGCTGGAGGGAGCTTGATGCGCGCCCGGCGTTCACAGACCGATGCCACCGGCTGAGAAGAGCGAGAGGCCACCGGCCCCGGCACCCGCGGAACGTGCCCTGGACCGGGGGCCGAACCTGCCATCGCCGGCGCTGTGCTGCGCCTGCGGTCTGTGCGCGCTGCTGGCGGGCGTGAACATGACGCTGGCGGGCGCCTTCGCCTCGTTCCTGCCCTGGCACAACGCGCCGCTCGTTGTGGGGCCGGCGCTGCTGGTGCTGGCGCTCGTTTTCTTCGCCGCCTGCTGCGTGTGTAGCCGCCGGGGTCCAGCGCCCCGCGCTCGCTCGGCGGCCGCGGCGGGCCCTGGCCAGGGTGGCGGCCGCGGCGGGCCCATGGCGCTGGAGATGGAGAGCAGCGAGCGCACGGCTCAGGACACCACGGCCGTGCAGCTCAGCCCTGCCTTCTCCGCCGCGTCGTCCCGCGACTCCAGCCCCGGCCACAGCCCTCTCGCCCTGGAGGCCCAGGAGCCAGCGGCCGTCTGCGCTCGGAAGGGGTCCAGCTCAACCTGCCCCGGGAGCGGGCCGCCCCCTAGCGGACCAGGGCCCCTCCGCGACTCCGCTGTCCCGGTTCACTCTCCGTTCAGTGCCATTTAGTGGGGGAAGGAAAAAAAAGAGAAAAAAACCTTTCCTTCCTCTTTCTCTCTCTTCCCTCCCTCCCTCCCTCCCTCCCTCCCTCCCTTCCTTCCTTCCTTCCTTCCTTTCTCTTTCCCATCTCCCAAACTTCTAGGGGGTAGAATGTGATGATGGTGTCAGGATCACACCCCAAAGAAGGGAGCACCTAAGTCTTGGCCCCTTAGGTGGGGTCTCTGGTCTCTACTAAACCTTACCCATCCAGCTTGATGAAAGTAGGCCCCTGGACCCTCAAACCCTAACACTGCCCCCTCCTCCTGGCATTTGGGCACTGTGAACCAAGGAGCACCGACCCTGAAGGGGCTAACCACCAACAATGCCAGCTCCCCCCCCCCCCCGGAGGTGGGAGAAAGAAGGGACGAATGTCAGCCTGGACTGTCTCTGCCTTTGCACACACTGTGAAAGGCTTCCAGCCCCTCTCCTGCCCCTCCCCACCCTCCTTGTTTCTACCCCAACATGACCTTTGGGATTCATTTGGCTGAGAAGCTGTGGCTCTGACTTGAGCCACGATGGGCCCTAGAAGTAGGGTGGGGGTGAGCACTCCCCACCCTTTCTGTCTGACTAGGAGTGGAGGTAGCTGAGGCTGGGGCCCTGACAGAGGTGAGTGGTAAGAGGGCTTCTGCAGCCCTGAAGGTCCTATTGTTGACCTTCACTACCAGTAATGCCGGCCCCCACCCACCATGACAGTGCCACACCAAGCTTTACTGCAGCACCTCACTCTCAATAAAGCACCTTTGGAGTCAGTCCTCTGTGACAGTGCAGGCGGCGGAGGGGGGAGTGGCTGTGGGGCCTCTGGCTGAGCACTCTGGGTTCTGGGGCCCTGCCAGCCTGTGGCTGAGTGCCTCCACATCCTGGTACCAGTCCCTCTTGGAGATCTTGAAGTGGGCTCCAGGAGAAAGGAGTGTGTGACTGAGCAAAAGACTATAAGACTTTGTGCCTGTGAATGTCTGTGGGAACAGATGTGTCAGATTGGAGGACTGGACGGACATAGGAGTGTGACTGTGGGTGTGATTGCCTGGCCCCTGAAAGAGATGGGGAGTGAGTGTTTGGGTAACGATCTGACATCACACATGCATGGGGGTTGTGAAGGCAGCAATAGTGGTTGAGGGCGTGGTTGCTGAGCAGGGATGGCGAGGGGAGAAATTCGGAAGTGCTCCACGGGGTGTGCAGAGCCCAAGCCCTTTGCCCAGGCTAGCTGGACTTGCAGAGTTTGGGCCCAGCCTGTGGTTCATCCAGGTGAGGGGGCAGGTAAGGGGCCAGGTAGAGGAATAGGGGCTGCCTTACAAAAAAGAAAAGGGGATGTGGGGAACTGAGGAGGTGACATTGCAACTCTGGGCTAGCACTTTCTCTCCATGCAGCGATCTTGGCAAGCAGTGACTGGGGGACAGGCTGACTCCCCTGTCCCGCCCCAGGGCTGTGACTCCCTCCTCATCCACTTGGCTTCATCACCAGCCTCCCTTTCTCTTCCCAAGACAGGCTTTGCTATCACTCTGTCATGACCCCGACACTGCCCACCAGCCCTGGGCTCTTCCTTCCTCTGGTGCCTCTGCCTCTCCTGCTGTCTCCCTCTCGCACTGACCTGGAGAAGAGCAAATCTGCCTGAGCAGGTACTGAGCAGGCCATCTCTATTAATTTGCTCGTGTTGATGGGCCTTAACCTTCGAAGCATCCAGTACCTCCAGCGGATGACCTCTGAGCTCCCCAACTCCACCCTGTATGTGTGTAAGGAAGGCCACCTCCCCAGGCTCCAGTCCTGTCTCTTCTGGTGTGTTGGTCTGCAGCTTCAGATGCCACCTGCTGCTGTGGTGGAGCCGTGGGTGAGAGGGGCCACCGCTGATGCAGCCTTGGGGTGTGGTCAGAACCACCCTTCTCCTCCCGCCTCAGGATTCTACCCCTGCAATGCCAGGCTCAGCCCAAACCCCTCTCCCACCTGCTGTTAGAAGCCTGGAATTACACTCTCTTTCTTCTTCCCCAACAAGACTTCCAGATCCTGTTCTGTGGGCCTGGCTGCTGCAGAGGAAGTGTGAGCCCACGATAAGGACTCAGGGCAGTGGGACATGGATCAATGGTGTGGGTAGAGTGGACACTGGCTGCCCCGAGTCCCTTCAGCATATACCCCCAACTGAAGGTCATCATTTATCTCTTCTGTGCCCCCTCCTTCACAGACACACCAGAAGAGATTTTCCCCATCCAGTGCCCCAGGGCTCACTTTCCCTTCAGCTCCAGTCAGCCACGATGGGGACCCCTCACCTCACACCCCTTCTCTGGGTGACAGCCAGGGGCAGGCCCCTCTGGGGCAATATGGCCAGTGAGACCGTAGGGCAGCCCCACCCTCCTACACACAGTGAAGCTGGAAGATGTGCTGTGTCCCCACTCCTCCGCAGCCCCCCCCCCCCCCGGCCCACTGGCCCAGGCAGGCTCCAGGCCCTGAAGGGGCCTCTGGGAGGCAGGCTTCTGTTGAGGAATGGACGTGATTCTGACAGCACAGAAGCATCAAGCTCCCTGATTTGAGCGGGGACCAGTAGCTCCTGCAGGGATGCTGCAGACTGTCCCTGGAATGAGGGTAAAACCTCCCATTCCCACCCTAAGCCCTGAAAATCTAAGAACCGAGGCACCAGGCTTGTCCTCAGAGGCACAGGGGCTGTGGTAGAGGACACAGAGCTGGTCCTTCCAGGGCCTGCGGGAGCTTAGGCTGCTACAGGTGGTGAGTGACCCCTGCCTCCCCAAGGAAACTACTGCTGGCCTGGATAAGGGAGCCCATTAAGGGGCCAGACAATGAGGTTCCCTGCACTCTCCTCCCTCTAGGAGAAATGAGGGCAGCCACTTAGAACCTTTTTTAATTATCATCTTGAGACAGGATCTTGCTCTGTTCCTGAGGCTGGTGTGCAGTGGGAAGATCACTGCAGCCTCAACCTCCCAGGCTCAGGTGATCTTCCCACCTCAACTTCCCAAGTAGCTGGGACTACCTGCGCATCCCACCATGCCCAGCTAATCTTTTGTGTGTTTTTGTAGGACACGGTCTCACTATGTTGCCCAGGCTGGTCTTCAACCCCTGGGCTCACGCAGTCCTTCCACCTGGGCCTCCCAAAGTGCCGGGATTAGAAGTGTGAGCCAATGTGCCTAGCCTTAGAATTGTTTTTTTACTAATTAACTTCACAATTCCTGAGCCCTGCTACATTCCCTGCTATGTGGGAATATAATGTTGAACAAGCTCTCATGGAGCTCACGTTCTATTTGGAAGAGACAGACAATAAAGAAATAAGTGAGCAAATGAGACCAAAAAGGTTAGCTAGTGAACAGCACTACACAGAAAATTACAATAGGACATTGTGATGGAGGGACTTATCAGGTGCTTGGGGGATCTTCTCTGAGAGGTGACATTGAAGCTGAGCTCTGAATGGCAAGAGTCAGCCACGCAAAGGTCTAGAGCAGGAACATTTCAAGCTCAGAAAACGGCCTGTGCAAAGTCCGAAGGTGAGAATGAACTGGCCTCCGTGTGTCAGAACAGGAAAGAAGGGCTTTGAGACAGAGGTGGAAGACGAAGCTGGAGAGTGGGGAGGGGTATTGCTCAGCTCGTGGAGGTCTTAGTAAGCCCCCATGAGGAGATGGGATTTGATTCTCAGTGAGATGGGATCCACTGGAGGGTTTTAAGCAGGGAAGTGACATGATCTGAATTATGATTGTAAAGACTGTCTGAATTATGATTGTAAAGACTGCTCTGTATGCTGTGTGGAAGCAACAGAGTGGTGAGGGGCAAAAAAGAGAGCAAGGGCAGGTTAGGAGGTCCCAGCAGTGAGACATACGGTCACTGAGACCAGGGTGATTGCTCGGACTGGACGGATTCTGCAGCTGTTGGGGGAGTTTTGGGGGCATGAAGGAAAAGAATCCTAAGGAAGTTCTAAAGTTTTGGTTTAAGCACCAGGGTGTATGGTGGAGGATCCAGTTTTGGGATAAAAGCGATGGCTTGGTAAGGCATAAGACCTGTTAGCCCAGAGGTACTGTCCCACAGGAGCTGGAGCCACAGCCCTGAATTCTGGAAAGAGAAGGTGCTGGGATGGAGACAGAAGCCGTCGGCCCGTGGATGGTGGTGAAGTTCCAAGGAGAGATAAAAATAGAGAACCCAGAACCTAAAATAATCTAACCACAGACTCCAGGGGGCAGCAGGGAGCCTGTGTTGCTGACTTCTGAATCCCACTCGGCCTTCTGTGAGGGAGACTTCCTGATGAGAGCTGTGGACTAGGAATGGGGGATTAGGGAGAAGCGGAACGTGAGTACCAAGAGGCCAGGACTCTTGCTCACTCCTGTACCCTCAGTGCCCACCTGGCACAAGGTAAGTGTTCAGCAAACACCTATGGACTGGGGGCAGCAGGGAGCCTGTGTTGCTGACTTCTGAATCCCACTCGGCCTTCTGTGAGGGAGACTTCCTGATGAGAGCTGTGGACTAGGAATGGGGGATTAGGGAGAAGCGGAACGTGAGTACCAAGAGGCCAGGACTCTTGCTCACTCCTGTACCCTCAGTGCCCACCTGGCACAAGGTAAGTGTTCAGCAAACACCTATGGACTGGAGGAAGAAGGAAAAGGTGTGGATCTCATTGCACAGCCGAGATTCCAGGTCCCCAGTAATATGGGTTTGTCAAGATGCCTAACTCTGGGTGGGAAGAGAGAAAATCTCATGTGTATGGGAGTTGTTCCCCTAGCCAGTTGCACAGTTTTCTACTTCTCTGAGGGGAGGCAGGGTGGCACGGGAAAGAAGGGCTGACTAGATCGGCGTCGAAGGACCAGCCTGAGGCCCAGGCTCCCCAAAGTAGGAGATGGCCAGATGGAGGGACCAAGCCTGAGGAAATCGGCACTGCTGGAGACTGCCACCAGAGGGCACCCCGGGCACACTGCAGGAGACAGACACTACTCAGCTCAACCAGACTGCACAATTTTGCCTTTTCCTCTTCTGAGATCCAAGGCCCTAAGAAATGGGGAGATCGCCAGGCACAGTGGCACACTCCTGTAATCCCAGCACTTTGGGAGGCTGAGGCAGTATGAACACGAGGTCAGGAGTTCAAGACCAGCCTGACCAAGATGATAAACCCTGTCTCTACTAAAAATACAAAAATTAGCTGGGCATGGTGGTGGGCACCTGTAATCCCAGCTACTCAGGATTCAGAGGCAGAGAAATGCTTGAACCTGGAGGCGAAGGTTGCAGTGAGCCGAGATCACGCCACTGCACTCCAGCCTGGGTGGCAGAGCAAGACTCCATCTCAAAAAAAGAATTGAAAAAAAGAAATAGAAATGGGGAGATCAAGGGAGTTGGGAAAAGGGGGCAGTTAAGTAACTCAGATTTACTAAGTGACTCATCCAACCCTGGAAACTGACCTTATTACAGGGAGAGAGCCTGGATCTTGGACAGAGACTTAGTTGGCCTTTATCAAGGTCACAGATAAGTCCTGAGTCTGCCTATAGACTAAACCATGACTTTGATCTTAGACTGAGCCCTCACCCCAGTACATACTGGTCCTGACCTTAATCATAGACTGAACTTGACCCTGGCTCTGACCCTGCTTGTTCATTCATCAAACCCTGACCTTGATCCCAGGCTGAGCTCTCACCCCAGCCCATAGACTTAACCCTGACCATTACCATCTAGTAAACCCTGACTTGGACACAAACTGATCATGGACACACATTCGCCCTTATTCTGGCCATAAACTGAGCCCTGACCCTGGTCCATACACTGAACTCT